AAGCCGTGAGGTCCAGAAGAACAGAGGCTGTAAAACAGAAACCACGTGATGTCCTTTGACATCTTCACAACTGACAACTGTGAACATGGGAAGCCATCATGTTGCCAGGCGACGGCCCGTGCTGCTGCTCGCGGCAAAGCACCAGGCGGTCTCGGCAACCCTGAAGCCCAAAGTTCTCTCGTATGAGTCTGCTCAAGCTTGGAGCTTGAGTGCTGCAGACCAGCTGTGCTTGGACAGGAAGAGGGCTTATTTCGATCAGCAGGATGGATTGTGCCCTTTTCCGCCTTTGGCTAGGCTTGCTGTCTTGTCGATTGATGTTGACATTCAAGTGGCAAGTTAAGTTTGCTATACTTCATGCCGGCTAACGTCAGTTTTGTAGGCTCCCTGCTGTCAAGAGCGCTAGTTCTTGCGATGCTTATGTGTGTATGCTTTGACGGGCTGGTACAAAGCACGCGTAGACTTTCCTGTTCATCTTCCAGCACCCCGAAGCTCATGCAAACCGTCACCAAGCACATCATAAAGCCTGGTTTGCCAAGTCGAGCTACTTGTAAAATGTTCAATGTGAGACTTTCAATGGCTACAGCTAACAGTGATTCTCCAGGAAACGGTCGGTGGATGGGTTCGGTTTCTGTCATGCCGATTGTTTTCGGGGAGCACAGCTACGCAGCAATTTTCTGACTTCCCACAGACCGAAACGACGAACACGGACCCCATTCAGAAGCAGCCCGTCCAGCATCGCCCCGAAAACACAGTGCTTGAAGGCAAAACTGAAGGTCAGAGATTTAAAAGGCTTGTACAACCACATTCCTGAAAGATCGATCAAGAACATAGCCACAGAGCCCTCAGCCCCAATGCTGCATTCACTGAATTTGTATCGTGTACGGCAGTATAGTACTTTATGCTATATTAATCGACGCTACATTCTACCAGGGTCCTATTATATTCTACAATGCTTTACTGTACTGTACTTTATTGAACTATATTATAGAGGTTTGCTCCGCCTCTTGGCTTGGAGGTCAGCGTGTCACCTGGAAGGACCCTGGCTTCCGCAACTGGCTCTCCACTGTCGTTGGGGTTTAGGGCTTCGGGCGGGGGGTTTGGGGGTTTAGGGTTTAGGGTTCGGGGCTGAGGGGGTTCAGGGGTTTAGGGGTTTAGGTTTAGGGTTTAAAGTTTAGGGTTTGGGGTTTTGGCTTGCGGGTTTACAACCCTAAACCCTGCTCTCTTGTGTCCCTAGGTTTGTATGCGGTATGATATAGAAAGCACGGTGTATTCTGGTGTAGCAAGGCTAACTAGTATAGTATAGTGTTGCATAGCATACTATGGTACAGCACGGCATGATATCGTAGGTCGTAGCAGATGCAGTATGAGAGGCAATCCTACATTGCAGGTTGGCTGTTCTTACTAGGTTGCATACTCTTGCTCTTGCTTTGTTGTGGCAATGTACTGGCTCTTGACGACTCGGTCGCACGTTAATACATGAAGTACATACATGTATACTGATCGTGTGTGTGTGTGTGTGTGTGTGTATCTGTGATTTACACACCTCTGTCTCTGTCATGCTGCGAGTATCACTGGCTCAGAGTGCGGATGGGATCCGAGGGATGTCGCTGCACGAGAAGTAGAAACAACAATGCATGGTGCGAGCATCTCACAACGACATATGAAGGCGTAGCTGAAACCAGAGACTGTTGCACATGAAAGCTCCGGTTATTGAACATACCTTCACAGCACTATGAGCCAGCTGTCCCATGCTTCCTCTCCCAATGCAGAGGTGAGGACACCGTGGGTGTAGCTCGAGGAGTTGCTGTTGTTGCCAGCTCGACAGCTGGCACTGCTGAGAAAGTGTCTAAGGATCTTAAGGATGCAGGGACGTAATGAGCGAGTTTGCTACCGACTCGATCTCTTAGACTTTTTGTGCTAGGCTGGTCCGGACCGCCGGCGGTCTGAAGTCGCGGCGCTGCGCCTGCCGCCCTGCCATCGTTGGGCCCGGGCGGCCAGGGCTTGCTAGGGCCGGCGGTGGTTCTGCTGCTTTCTTGGCGGCGGGGGTGGGGGGAGCGGGGCGACACAGAAACCCACCTTACTTTCCGCGTGGTGCTTTTTCGTCTCCCGTCTCTCAAGCCAGGCATGAAGCCAAGCTTACTGCCCTGGAGCGCCTGGGAGCGAGCCCAGGCTGTGGGAGTCTGCTTGGATGTTCGCCTTTACAGCTTGTCCGGGCTGGAGAATGTTTCATGTCGGTGAGAGTCAAAGATCAGGGGCCTTTCCTTCACAGATGTGCATCATGAAGTTGTGCCGGGGTACCTGCGGATTTGGCAGGTGGTGTCCTGAATGTCTCCACGGAGCCCAGCAAGCAGACTGCACCTGCACAGCAGGCCACAGAGCCGTGGCCAAGTAGGGCTGTAGGATGCTGCTTCGGTATCCAAGAGATGGAAAGAGCACAGCATGAGCGTTTGAGCCGCGATGCTGTGATTCTTTGAGTCATGCAGGAGAGACTGGTTTGGTCCGTGCAGGCCTCAGCAGCCCCTGCGTTGACGTAAACATGCTGAGGCTTCTCTTGAGGCCCGTCATGCGAATCAGCAATACCAGAAGAGCTTGCATAAGGGTTACGAACTGTCAGCGGTTGACACTGTGTACTCCAAGGCGTACTATACGGGCACTATAAGCGACATTATATGAGGAGTATGTGCGTTGTCCGTGCAGGTACCTTACACGCTGCCAGCAGAGAAGGCGCACGCTCCAAACTTGGCTATGTGTACAAGCGGTTTTAGCCTTCAACGCAGGTCCGGCACACGCTGTGGTCATCTCCAATCAGCAAACATACTTGATGAATCGGCGTGCACAGCTTTCCATCTGCTTCTCTGCCTCTCTGTCTGTCCGTCCGTCTGCCAGTCTAGAATCTCTTGCAGATGAGAACATGTGGCGCCTGTTTCGGCTCGGGGTGTTCTGTAGTGCGGAAGTGCCGCATGGAACACCATAGCACTACCAGCTGGAGCCTCACTGGAGGGTCCTTCCGGGGAAACTTTGGGGAGAACGCTAGGGCACCAAACCTCCCCCAGCGGTGGTCACGAGTGGTCTCGGTATTTCAGGTGCACGACAATTGAGAGGACCTGTGGTAGCTGCATCTGCCCGACAGCCGTAAGGGTGAAAAGTCTAAACCGTACCAGCAGCATGGAAACAACGGAGTGGCAGGTTCCGGGAAGAAGTCGTCACCGTGATCGTCGTTGTCATTGTCACAGTCGTGGTCGTAGCCCAACTATGGTTTCGATTTCTACTTGTACGACTATCATTCTCACGAATCTTCTGAGGTATTTGGTTAAGCTATTCTCAACCTGGTAGTCGTCGTAGTAGTAGATGTCGTCGCCGGAGTAGGAATAGGAGTGGCAGTAGCAGTAGCAGCAGTAGTAGTAGCAACCAACCAGCAGCAGCAGTGGAAGGAGGAGGAGCAGCAGAAGCAGTAGCAGTAGCAGGAGTAGCAAGTCGTCGTCGTAGTAGTGGCGGTAGTAGTAATAAGAAGAAGTCGTAGAAGTAGTAGTAGCAGCAGCAAGTCGCAACCAGGATACTCCTCACGCAGAGTAAGTAATGACGTTCAAAAGCCCGGCCCCCAGCGTAGCCTCCCGAGGTGATTTTCCGGATGCCCCCGAGATCGGTGATGAAGATATCAGAAAAGGGATCGTCGACGAGGCGGTTAGGAACTGTTTGGTTCGGAGGAGGGTCTGCGTCAGCTAGTGGTCTCCTGCTTGTCTCAAACTCCTCTCAGTGGCCGTTAGCTCCTGTGTGGAGCTTTGGAATCCCATGACCTGCCTGGTCCTCTGCGCACTCATATACAACAAGGTTCATAACCTAGACAGAGATACGAATGCAGATCAGCATGCTGTGCAGAAACCTGCACCTTGCAAGTGCGCTCGTCTTCTTGCTGCGGCATCAATGCATCGCCCTGCCTGCAGTCTGCTCCGATCCTGGCGCGAGGCAGGGCGTGGATCCGTTCTCTGAGAATTCCGGAACTGGGGGCAAGTAGGCTCAACAAGCATGTTGCCGACTGATTGTATCAGAGCCGGTCCGCTTCGGGGTTGAGGCAGGGCGACACTCGTTGCGCGAGAGAGAGAGAGAGCCTGTGCGCGGATCTGATCAGGCCTGGGCGTCGAGAGCTTGACGGCTCAGGTGTCGAAAAGATGGCCAGGACGATATCGTGCCAAGCTTGAATTGAGCTCAGCAGCGTAGCATTTGCAAAGCTAATGTACATACTCCTATCTCTGGCCAGCACCAGGGCTTGCGGGGTAGGGTCTCCAGCACTTTGAGGCTTCTGTGCAGTCGGTGCAGCTTTAGTGCTGCTCTTCGTCGCGTCCGTCGGCATCCTGCAGCAGCCTGAGCTCAGACTGACATGACGCATCTGGCGAGCCATTGCTACTGCTACTCTCCAGTTTGTGTGTGTGTGTTGTCTATGATATGACGTTCGCGAAGCTTATTGCAGCATTTCACCCTGCAGGACTTGTACACTGGAGATGCGCATGTTGTCAGACATGCCAAACCCCCATCCATCCGTGACCTCCTAACTTCCATGGCACCGGGCTCTTGGATGTCGAGGATAGCGACCGCTTCAGGAAGCGTCGTGTCTGGTGTTTCGCCAGAATTCCCGCAACCCGAACTTCTTTCCTTTTTCCGAGGTTCCACCGAGCGGCCGGCAGCTCAGGTTTCAGGTGCTGTGGGCAGGTGCTGGGACTCCGATTTACAGTTCCTAAATTTCAGGGAAACCTTTCTGTCAAGCTTGCTTTTCGTCGAGCAGGCTGCTCCACCCGATGCGCACACGAGCATACATGCTCTCATTCGAAGATGCATGCATCATCCTAATTTAGGGTACTATATGAGGGTCCCTCAGTTTTGGAAGCTCCCTTTATACTACACCCCCGTGATACCCCTCATAGTAGCCCCTATAGACCCTTTTAAAGGAACCCTAAACCCTAAGGGGGCCCCTGATAATAATCATAGAAGACCTCTATATTATATGCATGCGCTGGGGGCATCGCCTGAGAGCTCAGGGAGCGGAGGGGGCTCCAAACTCCTCCGCCTCGGAGTTGGTCGAGCTCTCCACCGACTCTGCGGAGTTCGCCTCTCTCCCTCAAAGGGAGGCTGGTTCAGGTTTAGGTTTCAGGGGTTTAGGGGTTAGGGGTGTTTTGGGGTTTAGAGTTAGGGGGAGATCTAAGACAGAGGGTCCGTGCAGAGGATGTTTGGATCTGGAGGGCCGAGTTCGGGCTTTTTCTTGAAGAGGTGGCTCAGGGCGCCAGGACCGATGTGAAGTCGTCGTCTCCCATCCTATGTCGAAACTTGGGGCACAATTTGTGTTCATAGTGCAAGCCTCTTTCTGCTGGTTCCACCGCGCTTTCCATTTTTCGGCTATTCCGTCACTTCCAACCGAAACATGTATGTTTGGTACCGAAGCAGACCCTACTTTCCGCGGACCCAGCATCATTGCAATTGAGCTGATGATATGATGTGACATGACATGATATGATAGGGTGTTATGTCATATGACATCATGTTACACTACACTAAATTACATGATCTTAGCTGATCTTGCTTTATTTGGAATTTCTGTTAATATAGGCCGTTTTAACATTGTATATGATGTGATTGTAGCATATCTTACTAAACTCGGCTAGGCTAGGCTATGCCATAGTATACTTTTCGGTATTTTATACTGGTTGTTATAGATGACATCATATCATATCATGCTACGTTATATAATGTTATATATCCTTATCTCATATTGTATTGCTTTTCTTCGCCTGATATGTCATATCATCTCATACTACCGTATCTTATGTGCCATTCTGTTGTGTTATTTTACATATTGTATTCTATCATACTCCTTTTGCCTCGTGCTTTCGGGGAGGAGAAGGCTGCTCCGGAGCGTGACCTGGGCTTCAACGAGCTGCGCCTTCCCACGGTGCAAGAGGCAGGTCTGTGGACAGCTAGTTTAGGGTTTAGGGTTAGGGTTTGGAGGTTTTGGGTTTTAGTGATTTAGAGTTTAGGGTTTAGGGCAGTGGTCAGCAACCTTGAGAATATTTGGAGATATTTGGAGCAGAATATCCCGTAAACTGGCTGTTTGCAGCATCACCTGACTTTGTGCAGGCCTTCCGTGCCACAGCATGTCGGATTGATCCTTGTTCCCAAACCCAAAGCTCCAGAGCCCAACCGAAACTCCTACGACCCAACAGGAGATCGCGAAGAAGTTTCATCCTGCCGTATGCGTGGGCCAAGCCCTCCAAGCTGCCATCACCCTCACTGGTCTCAGCATCAAGGCTGATCGTCCTGCACCAAGCTGGTTCGAGATTTAGGGTTTGAGGGATCTAGAGCTTAGGGCTTTGGGCTTTGGGGTTTAGGCTTCCAACGAGAGTAGAGTTGCGTGCGTGTCGATGTCGTTCAACCGATGGACTCCCTGGTGCCAGGTAGGTGCTGCGATGCGCGAATGCAATGCTTGGTTTTACAGGTGCCGCGGGGTCTGCTGGAGCCTGCTGAGCACAATTGCCAGAGCAATTGCAGAAACCCGACGTTGACCGTCGAAGCGTCGTGCGCCTTTGCTCAAGTAGTTGCCTGGGCAGTCCGCGCTACGCCTACCGGGTGAACCCGATCACCGGCAAAAGCGAGCAGGTCGTCAAAGGCCTTCGCAAGCGGTGTTTTACTGCTCTGCTCTCGCACCAGCCTCTGTCATTGTTCCATGTGCAATCCTTGCTGTAAAGGCAAGCCGGTGATTACGAATGCCCGCCGCCTGAAGGACAGGGACCTGCTTGCATGTTTAGTGTGATGGTTCTCTGACCCCAAGTCTGAACTAACCTCCGCTGTGCCTGCGAGGAAAGAAGGCATCCACTGCTACGGATCGAGGCCCGACAACGAGAAAGACAAAGTGCGATGGCAGATTGCAGGGAGGTTGTTCTGATGAGACCTTGCGACGTACATTGAAGAGCCTGCTCCTTGGAGGAGTCTCTCAGGAAGCCGCTGGCAAAGCTGCCTACGGTGCCAGGCGAGATCCCTGACGGTGTAGGATGTGCCTCGCTCGCTGGCTGCAACCTTCCTGGCCCCTTCCAAGGTCTTGAGCACATGCGATCCAACCTCTGGAACACATCCTTTTCCAAGGCGGGGCCAAAAGGCTGCTCAGAGTCGGAGCTCGAGACAGCTTCGCCGACTGAGGCATGGGACGCCGGAGACGAGCTCGAGGAGTTCAAGCGCTTGGGTGAGACTGCCTACAACGTCACGGAGTGGGACCTCTCCTTGCCCAACATGAGCTTCAGCTTGGGCAGCTTGGCATGGCCACACTCGATGTCGCCTGGGGCCTCGAAGCCGCCGGAGCCTTTGATTCGTGAGTGATCCCAGGAGCTGAGTGGACCCTCGAAGGCTGGCATTACCTCTTGGCTCACGGGGGCGTGATTTGGGAGCCCTGGCGACTCAAAGCACGTTCCACGTTCCTTCAGAGTGCTCGACCCGCTTTTTCCGAGTCACATTCACCTATCACGGAGCTTCCGAGGACACCCGCGAACGCCTTGGAAATTCGACGAAATCTGGACTCTCGGTCCCTTGGACCGAACACGGCAGACTGCGGTGCAAATTCTATCGTATTGTCGTACGCCGGACTTAGCACGGAATCGCAAGACGTCGCAGGCATACGATTTCGAAGAAAGAGCCCCGCTTTGCAGTGTTCAGGCCATGGTAGGCTAATTTGTCACCTGTGTACTAGAAGGGGGCCAGGGCCAGGAATCAGCTATGTGCAGAATCGCAGAGTGTTTTGCCAAGTCCTTTCCGATACTCGTAAAGTATGATACAGCACCAAGACAAATGCACTTCAGTATGAGTATAAGTTCAAAAGCGGTCTAGTCTAAATAATTTCCAACACTATTGTGAGGGCCCAAATCGCTGGCAGAGAGGCCAGAATTTTGAAGTGCCCCAGCGCGTATTGCGCGTCTTCCCGGGTAGTTGTCATCAGCCATTGGGCGGCACCCATCTTCTCCTTCCTGGCATAGGCGACTGCGAGCAGGTCGCGCGAAAGCCAGAAGGGCCATTCGCAAGGGCCGACGACCGTCGGCCACTCAGCTACGACGTCTCCTCGCACATCACGCAGCGCCACCCGGTTTGGGCATGCCCAAAAACAAGGCGAAGCCACCTACCGAGGCACCATGGCGGCAGCACAGGGAGAATCGCCGAGACGACGAGCAGGCAGGTCGTGGATCCGGAAATGGGTGGAATGTCTGGCATGGTGCCTGGCGCTCTACCAACTCTCCGAATGCCGCGGAGAGGGGCAAGCCCTTTCCTACTTACGACCGCAAGTGGCAGCCAGAGCCTCCGATCCGGGTAGTCAGCGAACACAGGCATGCGGAGCCTTCGCGGACTACGGAAAGTGCCTCGCGAAAAGTCCAGCAGTGTGTCAATCTCCTACGCAAGGCCGAAACGAAGGTCGGCAAGATTGCAAGGGACCAACAAGAGAAAGCCAACCGCTTCGCGGACTACGAGAGGCAGTTGATGGCGTCCTTCTTGGTAGAAAAGCAGAAGCATGCAGAGTACCAGGAGAAGCTCGCCAAGGACCTCGAAGAGGCAAGACAACAGGTGCTAGAGGCCAAAACCACGTTGGCGAAGTCGGTGGCGGAAGCCACCTCTCTGAACGAGGACGCCAGCATGGAACCTACGACGCAGGGAGAGGCAGAGTGGGCGGAGATGGTTCAGCGTCACTCTGGCACACCAGTGGTTCCGCCACAAATGGACCCGGAGGTCATTGCTCTGCTGAGGCTCTACAAGAGCGGTGCAATACCTCCACCTGGGCCAGGCTCGGCTGCCCCACATATGACAGGAGGTGCGCCTATGATGGGACCACTCTCCCACCAGCATGGACCACCCGGGCTTGGACAAGACATGGCTTCGGGACAGAAGGCGGCACCACCTCCCGAGCCTGCGATGTCAACTGGTGTCCCGGAGGGGCCACCTGCAATGCCTACGTATGGAGCAGCCTCCCCAGGAGGCGACAAGGCCAGCAGAGTGGCGCCGTATCAGCAGACCTCGCCTATGCCAGTCAGACATGGGGAACAGGCACCTGCCGAAGTCAAGGAGCCGGTCACTACGCCTCTTCCACCGACTCCTTCAACCGCGGAGGGCGAGGCTTCCAAGTTGCAGACAAGGGAAGGGGTCAAGGCCCTCCCCCACCAGACACCGGTCAGAACGCCGATTCCTTCCACGACCCTCCAAGACAAGCTGGAGCACAAGCGAGCTACGGACCCCTTGGGTCCCGCGCTGCAGCCTTTCAGAGGGGGACATGTCAGCCAAGCTGCAGCCATGGCAGCTTATGCAGAGGTAATGGCCGCCCGCTCGCATCCACAGGGCGGAAATGCACAGGTTTCCAAGACCACGATCGTACAGGACGACGATCCCGATACTCAACACATGTCGGCCTCGCCTGGCTTGACGAAGTTGGAGTGACCTCCGTTGTTGATCGTAGGCGAGGGTCGCAGAGTCTTTCCAGACGAGCCGTACTTCTGTGCAGGCTGAGGAGACCAGTACCGTGGCAGGATTCAGAGACTGGGGTAGTCCTGACTGCTGCTCGGGCACGAGCTCACCCCGGCCAATGCACTCAGTACGGGCACGTCTGGTTTAGACACTGTGGATCCTCGCGGTTTCACAACTGGCAGGTAGGCTGTTTAAGGACTCCAGACCCAGACCACGAACCTGTTGCTTGTTCCCGTGCGGCTATCTCTCATTGGGTTCTTGAGGGAAGCTGTAAGGGAACTTCGTCTTCCTCTGGCTCTACGGCGAGATGCCTTTTTGGTGTCTCCGTTCGAGAGCCCCCGCCATGGCCACCTACCGGCTCCACACCCGCATGTGGAGCTGCCAATGCTCCCTTTCATAAGCAGCCATGCAGTCGACCTCCTTTGTGCATCACTTCTTTTGTGTACAATCCCTGCGCGCAGGCAGACAAGTGGATTGCCAAAAGTGTTGCTCCCAGTCGGGCCCTTGACGAAGAGCAGGGGCTTCCTGCCAAGGTCGCCATTCACCTGGCTTGCGCAGCATGTGCTTTCTTCCGAACTCTGAGTGGGTTGCTGAGTTTGGTTCTAGGACGTTTGCTGCTAGGACAGTTCTTAGGGCGCCGTACGCTGTTTGGCCGTGCCATACGGATCCCGCTGCAGCCCTCTACGTGTAGCATTGTCCTCTGCTTAACCGGTACTTCTGTGCATTCACCTCAGCCCCTCACATGGTCCACAGGTGACAGGAGACCACGTCCTACCCGGGCAGGTCCCCTGCGGAGTCACGGGGCACTCTGCTGGAGATGGCTGCAAATGTTTCTTCTTTGCACTATTCCTGTGTGTGTTTGGGCAGCGCCTGATGGCCTATCGGCGGACATTTCGATTGTTGAGAATTCTCTGCAGCTTTCACCTGAGCCTCTTCCTCCAGAGGTAGAGCCTGAACAGCGGCGCTTTGAGCCTGCTCCTCCTCAAGCTAGCAGATATGCCGCCCTGCCCTCTAGCCAGCCCCTTTTACAGGGAGAATCGGGTAGTTGGTTAGGGGTTACAGTCTTTGCCCCACACAGGCAGCCCACATACTTTGCCCTGCTCTGCGACCCTGCTGCCTCCGAAGCAACGGTCACTTCACAGGTGCTCCGACGTGAACAGGGTGCCGCTCCCGGTTACCATTACATGTCTCCGGTGTCTCCTCAGCGACACCCAGGCTTTGCGGCGTTCGTGCAGCACACTGCCGAGGACGATCGTCTCCAGCAACGTTCCGTCATTGTGGATTTGTCACATGTCGGCGGTCATTATTATGCCGCCTCACTCCCTTCCGGTCAGCTTGTGTCTGACTTCCTGCATTGCATCTATAAGCAAACGAGCGTTGATGACAGGGAGCTTCGTCTGTGGTTGCCCTTTGCAGAAACAGCCGCGGCTGCGAATGATCTGCTTGAGCCTGCGCATGGAGATGTCCTCACTGTGATGTGGGAGGGGGTGCAGCCTTTGAAAGGCCACCGCTTTCAGGATCTCTTTGTGTTTCCGCGTGCCTGGCACCCCCCTCACCACATGCCTACATGTGCCGGCTCACCAGGGCAGCTTGTCTTCTGGCAAGAGGAATGCTTCTACTTCCATGCCAGATTCTTCCCGGGGATGAGTCTGCATCAGGCCTTGAGCACAGTGTTGCGAACTCCAGCAGACAGCCTTCGGCTTTATGTCTCCGACCAGTTACCGGGCGTGGCATTCCAAGGAGAGGTCTGTAATGCAGTTGTCTTTGCCCAACACGCCCCTGATCCCAGTGCAGCCTCTCCAGCAGACTCTAGTAGAGCTGGAACTTTTCCAATCCTCTGTGACGCCAGGCAGGTAGGCAGAGGCTTTCAGGTTGTCGCCGAAGCAGCGCCAACTGTCACTGGGGCTGAGGTCTTGGCAGGTCTCGGGTTATCCCCTGCCCACAACTATACGGTTCAGGCCTGTTCGTCAGATCAACATCCTAGCAGCAGCCTGCAACTACGGACCGTCTGTGTGTGGGAATATCCCGTAACGATTTACAGACCAGCCTCGGCTCCCAACCTCTTGCAGAGGTTGTACCAAGGGGCAGTTGGGCTCCCCGCTCTGGCTGACGAGCCTGCTTCAGATTCTGAAGGTGAACCGGAGGATACATCCTCTGGATCTGAAGCACATGTGGATGCTGCTGGCTCCGAGAATTCTGAGCAGCAAGAGCGCGCACTCAGAGTTGATGCCACGTTTTTGGTTTTTCGCATGGAGTATCAGCCGATAGAATTGAAGGTCACTCTTGCAATGCCATCTACGTTGCATACTTGCCTGGATGCAGTGACGGCTGCGCTGGATGACTCCGTTGCAGATCTGTTTCCAGTGCTTCTTCCGGCGCGCCCACAGTTGTCACGAGGTTGGGGGGCACTAGTTGCAACGCCCAGCTGGGCGGCTGATGAGCCACATGCACTACTTGATCTCAGGCAGTATGACGGTCGTTTCTTTCTCGCCCCGATCCCCAGAGTGGCAACGGCTGCACACATCCCGCGATCAGCCGGCGCTCCAGATGATGGCACACTCCTTGTGTTCCCACACGGGACGGATCATCCCTTGATGCAAGGGGAAGAAACGGAGTGCACGCCAGGTGGGACCATAGTCATCCTTCCCACAGGGCAGCGGCCGTCGACTAGAGGATCACTTGTGCACATGCTTCTTGACCCAGAGACTTGGGAGTCTCCTGCATTCGTGCCTAGGGGTCCGGGGGGATTACGCAGTCCGTACCTGTGCGTTGTTCTTGAGCAAGGCCACCGGCTGCATGTGATCAACAATCCTCCTGGTGAACATTTGGAGCATCTTGCAGCTCAGTATGGATTTCAAAGCCACATGACTAGAGCTCAGGCCACCAGGCCGCGAGTTACAGACATGAGCCTGAACGGCTACCACTGCAAGGGCGTTGCCGCTGTGACTGGAGACATGCCAAATGTCCTCATTCCTCCAGGGCGCCCTCGACCCGGCCATATGCTAGCCGTTATTGACTGCCGCCCTATCCTCCAAGGATGGCGCCAGCTGGCAACCTTTGATGGCACTTGCGATTATCAGGAGGTAGTAGACTTGCTTTCGGTTTTCATGCCTGAAGGTTTTAGTTTACACTTGGACAACATTGATCTCCGCCAACACGCGCTTCACCTCAGGCCAGGCGAGGTCTATGTTGCCTCCTATGTCCCCACCAGCTCCGCATCAGAGGATGAGGCCGTCGATCCCCCGGGCGACGAGCCCCCCGGGACAGGGCCGGGTCCGGGTTACCTTGACACTTTGACAGGGAGCGACATACCGGAGCCGGCATCGGCCCCAGGCCCCACAAGCCGGTCACGGAGCCGATCACCGCGACCTTCCGGGGGTTTAGAGCATCAGATTGCAGCAGCACGGAACACTCCCATCTCAGCCACCTCTTGCGACCAGTTATACACCATGTCCAGCAGTGGGCCGATTGCGCCATACCCGGGACTACCCGCTTTTTGTGTCACTAACGTGTCCACACTTTGCGCGACAGCTGACATTTTCTTGTCTGTCTTTCCAGGCCATAGACAACAAGGCTGGGATTCTCTGCATAAGCGGTGCATAGATGATGTGACTGCCCGGCTCTCCGACCAAGCAGTCCCAGGGCCCCGTGCCACCAACTTTGCTTTCCCGGATGCGGCCCCATCCCCGTGGGGAACTGGAGATCCCCCTGACGGGCCAGGCAGTCCGCCTCCTGTCTTTACTGTGCCCATGCCAGAGCTGGAGCTCATGCAAGCGCCAGCTGCCGCGCCGTTTGATGCGACCTTCTGCATCCTGACACAGGACTATTGGCCGGAGGTTGTCACTGTCACGTTGGGAGCGCAATCTACTGTTATGGCTGCGCTTGCCACTGTGACGGAAGCGCGAGTGCAGTCTAAGCGCTTGGCATTCCCTATCTTGATCCCAGTGTGTCCACAGGTCTCATCAGGCTTTGCCACCCTTCTGTCGGTTCCATCCTGGACACCTCCAGGGGTGCCAGTTCTGCTTGATTGTAGCCGTGTTGACGGCCGCATTTTCACAGTCTTTGTAGCTGATAGAATGGACCTGAGGTCATTGATCAGTGTCGCTGAGGTCGCAGAAAGTTCCAATGTGCTCGTGTATGTTGCTGACTCCCCTTGGCCCTTGGAGTCTGGCCAGGCCCAGCCGCTGCACCCAGGAGATCTGGTCATGTATGTGCCGGTCGAACATGACTACCTTGTCTTGACCCTCCTCGAAGACATGTTGTTGGATCCGAACTGCTGGGCTGCTGTGCCGGCTTTGCCAAGCCTGTCTGCACGACACTTTTGGTTCCTTACCGACGTTGAGCCGTTTCGCTACTCTGTGGCTGTTCCCAGACGGTTTCTGCGCCGGGACATCTCGGAGGAACTGGGTTGTCCGCCCAACCGACTTCGGCTTTGTCCCTCTCAGCCCCAGATCACCGATCATGCCGACCGCGGATACTTATCCTCTACGGTTCTGGTTGCATCTGACAATGCGGCGCAGCCGAACCCGGCTTTGCCTTGCAACATTTGCCTGTTGGATCTCCGTCCCCTCTGTGTTGGCCTCACATGGCAGTTTGCGCCACGGGGCGTTCTTGACCAAGAGGCTCTTCGTGCACATTTGGCGACTTTCTGTCCAGGAGAGCACACCATCTGTTTCTACCGAAACCACATCCTGTTGGATCCGCAAGAGCTTATCACTGGAATTGGGGATGGGGAGGTTTTGGTTGTTACATTCCAGTCGACAGCCGCCGTGACATCCGAGGCAGGCGAGGACCTGCCCGATACCCCTGACCTCAGCGATAGTTCGGAAGTTTTGGATGAATGGGACTTGCCGGGGGCTGCTCCTTTCTCTTCCCCGGCAGCAGAGTCTGCCTCTGCTACCACCCCAGGCGCAGGGGACACTGGCCACGAGGGAAGTGTACGGTCAGCGCCCAGGGCCCCCGCCACAGGGCAA